AAAAAAAAAAAAAAAAAAAAAAAACCAACCAACCATCGGCAGCAGTAGATGCATGGAGCAGATGGCCATTTGCATGATCTACATACCAGCTGGCCAGGGCTGATATGCATGCATATTAAACCAGCAGTATTACTATATTAGAACTCCTGATAGAATGACGCACATTAATATATATTATATTATTATTAAACCACCAGTACTATGGCTCCCCGCAGCCATTTTTTGTCAACACGGCCATCCAGAGGCTGCAAGTTTTGGGGTTCGGACTGCTGGAGCAAAATGGCTGGGAGCTTGTACCGCTCGCTCAGCCACTTGGGAAGTAATGATGGTGTGAGGTACCCAGGCCTCACAGCAGGCAGCACAAGGAGGCCTTGGGTCTGGATCTTAGAGTTTCAGGGCCAGTACGTCCACACTGGGACCCACTAATTTTACCTGGGCCCAGTAGCAGGTCCTGCTGACTCCCGTAACGTGCATACGGCAGGCAGCACAAGTAGGCCTTGGGTCTGGGTCATAGAGTTTCAGGAGACCGGGACCCGCTAATTCTACGTGGGCCCAGTAGTAGGCCCTGCTGACTCCCGAAACGTCCATACGGCGGGGCAGCACAACTGGGCTTTGGGTCTGGATCTTCAGGGCCAGTAGATCCACACCGGGACCCGCTAATTCTACCTGGGCCCCGTAGTAGGTCCTGCTGGCTCCCGAAACGTCCATACGGCAGTTCCTACTGGCCAGAATGTCACACGATTGCAGCGAGCTCCGAATGTGCCTGATGAGAACACATGGGATGAAGAGTAAACTGCTGTTGAGTGTCTCCACCCGAAATCCATCCACTTCACCACAACAAGTATCGACTCCAAATGGCGCAGTACCATTGGTTTTTGGCTGCCTGATCAACACGCCGAACTGACCTATGCTGGCCACAGGGCTAAGTCAGGCATGCTGTTGCCACCGTGGACAAACAACAGAACGGCACGGTCATGCACACGAACAAATATCGCAGGCCGTTCGCATTCAAAGCTGCTTGCTCACGCGGTTGCGGCCATGGACAAACAACCGGACAGGATGGTCAAGCATGCGAACAAACACCCCCAGGCCATGGGCAAAAAGACCCTGGCGCTTCGTACATCGTCGATGTGCCTCCACATAGGAAAACGTACACTTAGTGTTCCATGCATGCTTCCATGCACATCAGTAGCATCCCTGCACAACTTCTGATGATTTTCCCAGCAGGCCACTCATGATTCCAACATAAATCAACAGTGCATTCGAAGTGTATCATGTCCAGAAGCATTAAAAAAAACAGTCGACAGCGCAAATATCTACGGGCCTTTCGTGATTCTCCCAACTTCAACGGTGCATTTGAAATGCATCGTGTTTGTAAGCATAGGGCAGTTTGCAAAACAACTGGCCCTTGCATTGTCAAGGCCTAAGTAGGAGCGTGGGGGCGTAGATCAGGAGCCTCCCAACTTCCCAAGTCCTCGCACAAGCGCACAGTTGCATTGTTTGCCTTCTTTCTGTGCCTTCAATGATTTCTATTGCACCCCTGAGACTAAATGAGCTCGAAGGGATCTCACCACCCCTGAGACTAAATAAGCTCAAAGGGATCTCACATTTGGGCCACTGGGAGTTCTAGTCTGTTATTTCTGCAATGTTATCAGAACAGGCTTTGTTCTGATCAGATTTACGAAAAAATCCAATTCTTTGAGCCTGTTTCGGCACGACTTGCTGCGTTTACCAAGTATGCATGTGCTGTGTGTGACCAGCCACTGATGTATGTGTGGCGAGTACTTGCGTGGGTCCCAGTCTGAGTCTATTCGCTAACTTTGTTGGCTGTGATGTGTAGCAGTGCTTTACTAGTAGTCAAGCGCGAAGCAACAAGTAGGTAGAACTATAGGGCGGGCGCCGGGCACTACAATCGCGCACTGGATGTACTTGTTGGGAGGCCAGGATGGACAGACGCATACGTAGAATTTGGTGAGGACCCGGGGGGGATTTTCCAGCAACTTGGGTAGGCTGGCCCAAGTGAAGTCCAGGCGGGAGTCTTAGAAAGGTCCGGTACCTGCCAAAGGAAGTCAGTGCCTACCTTCTTCCCCCGAATAGAGCGAACGGTCATTTCTGCTGCATCTGGACTAGAAGGTGAGCCAAATACAGGTGTAATGACCATATATTCTCTTCGGGGGAAGACGGTACTCATGGCCATATGGAGGTAGATTCCAGGTTATGGAGGTAGATTCCAGGTTAGGTACAGGGATAGCAGACTGAAATGATGTTCCCGCCAAAAGGCAACTGGACTAGGGAGTAGTACCGGGGCGGAAGGTCTGCAGGACGGATGATGGAAGAATGTACAATTCAGAGCAATAAGCATCCTGCTCATTCACCTGGCATCCATACTGCTGCTCCGCCTAGAGGGAGTTCCTCGGAAGACCTCCATGGCTACTCAAGAGCAGCAGAAGGAAGGCGTAGAAGAAGCTCTAGGCTATGGAGGTGAGGGAGATGGACCACTAGTTGGGCTATGGAGGTTAGTGAGGTTGAGGAAGGAGGAAGGAGGAAGGAGGCAGGGACCGACAAGAGGACTCACTGTTGGCTATGGCAGAGTTGCATCTTCAAATCCATGGTTGGCACTGCATCCACCCTGAAGAGGTACCAGTTGCACATGGACTTCATCTGGAGAGGATAGGCTTGGCGGTAGCTGAGAGATAGGGCGTGAGAGTATTTGCATTTGCCCTTCGAATATCCGAGGTAGCCTCGGATCTTCCGCTACAGCAAGTAGCCATAGCCTTGGATCTTCCGCCATAGCCGGTAGCCATAGACTTGGATCTTCCGCCATAGCCGGTAGCCATACCAATGTGGAAGGAAGGTGGAGTGAGCTAAAGGAATGCTCTTTCCAAGAGTGGCAATAAGGGAGAACAATCCAACTTTGATTCCGGTTGCTTCATTCAGTGTTGTTGTTGGTTATAAATAACTTATATTACCATTAATTAAGATAAGAGATGCTGCAACTGATGAAGAGGGAGGGGTAAAGGAGACGGAGGTAGGGGAGGGAGATGACATTGGTGCCGACTTGTGATTTCCCCTTGCTGCTGCTTTCTGCCGTTCTTCTTCCCGTGTTTCATTCAACCTCTATTCGAATTCCAATGAATGGCATTTTGAAATGGTGTGGATCGTAGCACTTCATAACATACGGGCATATAATAAGTTATTCATAACTGAATTCTCCACCACCTGGCATATTCTCCTCAACTTTTCCCATCAGGATTGAAGATCCTGTTACAGAAATCGCTCGCCGCTCGAGAACTTTAGAGAAGTTCAGGCACAATTACATTAAAAAAGCTACGTGTCAGGGCTTGAAGCCCCGACTTATTATCGGCCGGCCAGCATGTACACTCAAGCCGCACTGGAAGGTGAAAGCGACGTGCAGTCGGCATTTTATTTCGATCTCACACCAGATACCGTAGTAGACTTATCTTACTCTGGGGCTTCTTATAGGAAAGCACCACATAACAAGCGATATGAGTCATATGACACTACCAAAAAAAAACAAAAAAAACTTAAAAAAAGGGAGATAAACCGTACCTCCTCCCGCCGCAAAGTTGACCACTGGAAGACGACCCAGGACCTTCGTCTGCTTCACCAGCTCATAAGACGCGCGCAGCTGCATGCGTCCCAATGCATCCGATTTCGTCATACGCGGAAGATAACCCACACAGTACAAGCTGAGCGATCAGTAGGAATCAACGACAAACTGGAAGAAGTTCAAAGAGAGGTGATGAATCCGACAAGACTGTGAGAAAGCCGATGACACTTGCGATGTAGAATCAAGTCACTAGAGATCAATAAGACGTAGATTGCTCGTAGCTAAATTGAATTAAAATTTGAAACGCATGCAATATAAAGCGATTTGTCAAGATAGAGCTTTTCCTAACCGTGAAGAGTCCAAACAAAACAAACAAAAAAAAAAAACAGAGTCCATTCACAGTCTCTACTATGATAGATCAATCAACACTGATCCTCACATACAGTCATAATGGTTATAGCAGGATTGAATCTGTGATGCAGAATCCGAAGAGTCGAGATCCAAGGTCAGTGACCTCTCAATGTTGTGTGATAAGCCCTCAGTGCAATGGTTGCATTCCCTTTGTTGCTGCTTTTGGTGATATCAGCAATTTCTGTCAAAACATGCTCTCATGAAGTTCACGTATACCGTATCGTATCTCAATCTGGCTCAGAAAGCAGAAATCAGGAAGAATGTAGGTAAGGGAAGTTGTCAATAAGGATCCGAAACCTTGTGGGAAAAGGACTGATTCGCAGGGCTGAGCCTATGGGTCTGCCCACGAACGTTGTTGGTTGCAGGTGGTCTGCCCGAGCTGCTCTCGGGGCGAAGGCAGAACCCGCTTGCCAGTGTGCGGATGGGTGTAGAATACCTAACCCACCTTGCGGGTGGGAGCGTGAGACTCTCGGCGAGTTCCAGTGTGCCGATGGGTGTAGAATGCCTCATGTCCCCACTTTGCGGGGGGGGGAGCGTGAAACTCTCTCCCTAAGCATCAAACTGCCAATTCAGAACTGGTGCGGACAAGGCCAACCCGACTGTTCAATTAGAACAAAGAAGGCGCAAATCGCCTACATGAACAGCGCACCGAGGCCTCGTCTCCAAAATATCATTTCGTTCTCATGGCAATTGTGCCTCTCTCGGGTTAGCGCATACAGAGGTCAGTAAGGAAATGAAGAGCATGAAAGGGGAGGATTTCTAATATTGGATCTTTGCTGCACCTTCGCGTGCCTTCTTTCCTCTTCAGCATATTTAACTTGCCTCGCAAGTGGAATGTATTGATTGACCTGGAACTGTGCCATCTCGAAGGGGTCTGGAAGTACCTGAAATTCTGTCATCTCATCCAGGATGGACTCCGTTGATAAAATATACGGTTCCTTCTTCTCCACTTTTTTTAAGGCAAGCGAGTCAAAAATGCTCAAGAGGAAAGAATACACATGCCTGCCAAGGCATTGGAGGAAGGAATTGGTAAAGTTGCTAACCAAGCATTTCATGGCCATAATTCTTTTTCATGTGAGATTTTTACATTAGATGAGAATCCAAGTCACTCACAGGGAGAGATGTCCTTCTCCCTTGTGCCTGCATGGTTTGATTGAAGAAATCACCAGGCACAAGGAAGAGGGGCACAAAATGGAGCATATAAAACACATAGTGCATGAGGACAAGAAACATGTACACTGTACAGTGTACAGTAATTTCTGCCGATCTCACGTGAGGACTATCGTCACATCATTCCCTCACATGTTATGCCCCTGCTGGATGTTGGATGCTCTTTTTTTCCTTTGCGGTTGCTTTTGTTTTCACGATGCGCACAATTTAGAGCGGAGCAAGCAGATCAATTCGGAATTTCACTTTCTGTCTCACATAAGGACCGTTCCCACATCTTCTTCCCCCTACAGTAGCAGTCAATGCCGTATTTCAGGCCTCCACACCAGAAGGGGAGGAGCGTGCGTGCGTATCTGTTGTAATTTTTCTGACTTGCCGGGGGAATAGGAACCGGACTGACGCTCCCCATTCTTTTTTTTCTTTTTTTTTTAAAGAAAAGGACTGTTCCCACATCATTCCCTCACATGTTATGCCGGACTGTTCCCACATCATTCCCTCACATGTTATGCCGCCTGTTCGATGCTCTTGTTTTCGTCACGAACGAAAACAAGAGCGGAGCAAGCAGATCATTAGAAAAGAGGGTTGTGAGCTTGTGAAGTCTTCGGACTTCACTCTTTCTGGTTATCCATGAGCTGAAGAAATACAAACAACAGAGAGAGAGCTTGATGCTGGGAGGGTGCCTTTTGGACAGGAGGAGGGAAAAGCAAACGAGCGAGAAACAAACAAAGCAACAATGCAATGCAAAAACCAATCAAGCAAAGCAAACAAATAAATAACACTCAAGAGCAGAAGCAAACAAAGCAAAAACAAACAGAAGTGAAAACAAACAAAGAACAAAAAAAAACACAGACAAATCAAGAAGTTCAAAAACAAACGCATCGAGACAAGCACAATGAAAAGAGAAGAGTTTATTTTATGTCTGAAATTGTAGTGGTGGTGGTTGTGATGGGAGGCGTGGTAGGGCAGTAGTAGCAGTGGCAGTAGTAGTTGTTGTGCATCACTACCTCCTTGGCAAACACGTAGAGCTCATCTTCATCCATGGACTGCAACCGTCGAATGTCTCCCATAACTGCACGAACATGTCGAACTGCCTCGACAATGTCACCTGTGCCTGCCTCCCCCTTTGTGCGGATCATGGCAGCTCCCTCAGCAATCCTCCTCAAGGCCTCACCCAAATTCCGGCATCCACAAACAAAGGGGACCTGGAAGTTACGCTTGTTGATATGGTTAACATCATCAGCAGGCGTTAAAACTTCACTCTCATCAATGTAGTCGATCCCAATTGCTTCAAGGATCTGCGCCTCCACGAAGTGCCCAATTCGTGCCTGCAACACCGACAAAAGCAGACAAAGCAAACCGGTCAGTGTTTTCCTCCACCATCGACTGTAGTCCACAGTGCCATGCTCGGTGCACAAACCCTTCAGGGGGGGTAGGGGAGAGAGAGAGAGAGAGAGAGAGAGAGAGAGAGAGAGAGAGAGAGAGAGAGAGAGAGAGAGAGAGAGAGAGAGAGAGAGAGAGAGAG